GCCACTATTTCAAGACAGATTGCCACAGAATGTAAGAAAATGATCTGGAAGTGAGGAAAATGTTTCAGGTAAGTCAACAGAACAGTTGATCTTGTCTTATATAAGTGCCGGAAAGGAGATTAATGCTGAAGAAGGAATTAGACTTTTGCTGAAATTACAAGCTTCTTCAAATAGGAACTACAATTACTTTTAGAGCATTCAGATAGAATGCAAGTGTGAATTGAGAATATAGATACAGCATTGGTAAATGTTGTGAACTCTGCTCTTGAAGCTGACAGAGAAAAAGATTATGTTAAAGAATGCAAATTAAATATGGAAATAAATATAATATGCAATAATTTGCATGAAAAGTTAATGAGATAAGAAGATAAAGAAAGAATAACAATATAATCTCAGGCTTAGAGGATGATGATAAAATGGACAATGGTTTAGTTAAGGTTCAAAAACTTTTTAACGATAATTTAAAGATTACAGATGTCAATATTAAATGTGCTTTTAGAGTTGGAAGATATAAACCGAATACAAGAAGACTGATTATTTATGAGTTGTTTAATTTTGAAGATAAATTTTTAATTTATAAAAATATTAGTAATTTAAAAGCTTAAAATATATTTATTAATGATGATTGATTGAGTAATACTAGAGCTATCATAAACAAATTAAGGCTATATGGAAATTATTCAAGAAGGCAAGAAATTCAAATACAGATGAATCTTATGTTTTGTATGAAAGCTATTTAAAAGAATATAAAGTATGTCAAAAGAAAAACAGTCTTACTTTTCTAGCTTAAATAAAAGATTGATAAAATCAAACAACTCTAAAATATTTTGGCAAATAATTAATACCTTTAAACTTAAGTCCTTAAAGTCCATTGGATTACAATTCAAGAATTTCCTTGGAAAGATGGTTCAATTATTATGCTACTAAATTTTCTAAAGAACATTCTTTATTTATTAATGATGAAAAATTGTTGATGAATGTGTGTAAAGTGTTTCCAATAGGAATGGAATGTTTTACAGATTTTACATGGGAGGAGCTAAATGGAGCTATTAATTGTTTTAATCTGGTACCTCACCTGAAATTGATTCTATTAGAACAGAATATATTTAAAGTGTTTTTCAGAAAACTTTCTTCTTACAACATTGGAGGTTTTTTAATGCTATTAAAAGAGACTCTACTTTCCCAGAGAAATGGATTGAATTTTTGATTATTCCAATATATAAAAACATGTGAGACTAATCAGGGATAGGATGTTTGCAAGTACCTCTTAATTACTACCTCTTAATCGACACTAGACCTTGGGATCTGGTCTCACTTGTCTAAAGGATGGTTTCTGTTGAGCGGAAAAGAATTATGAAAAAAAGGGATCGTTAGATCTTTTCTCTCATCAGGATCTGATACCAATCTATCAATTTATCGGCAGATAGATACGTGTTTAAGGGAGATCAATGAGTAACCCCATAACCGATGAAACACAAGCAATCTCGTTCATTCTTGCGGGTTCGAAATGGAGGAGATGATAATGTCGGAAGAAACATACACCAATCAAATTTCATTAACAATATATCCATTTATATACATATTTACATAGACATAGGTTATTAAAGGTTTGAGAGTGTATATATATATATCTGGGTTAACATCCCATATAGTTAATTAATTCTAAACAATCAATACTTTGTTTGGGAAAGTAACTAACAGTAATATAGTAGTCGCAACCTTGACCATGTTTTGAAAGAACTCGAGACAGAGCTTACATATCATCACGAGTAGGATAAATACCTCTAATCGTAAATGTTGATTCTTGATGATACTTGAGCTTGGATTCTTCTCGGGTTCGTTGAAAGAGTTTGTTGATTTGACATAAGTCCCAAAATCATAGAACAGTTCAGATAGGAAGTCTATTGAAGACGGTGGCAATGAGAGGCAGAAAATCCACAGGCACACGCACACACGCACATCAATACAAAAATAACTTTTTTTCCCTCTGTCGTCATCGCACTTGCCTTTTATTTGGGGGCTCCTTTCTCGAGATTTCCCCACGTACGTCAAAGGTGATCTCTTTGGACCAATGGTGGGTTAAGTGACATAATTATGACATAACTGTCAACTCATCTTCTGCAAGGAAATATTTTTGTGGGAACAGGGTTTTATGATTGATTTTTATGGGAAAAATTGTCAGGTTTTTTTTTCTTTCTTTCTTTTGAACTAATTCTAATTTTTTCTAAAATTATTATTATTATTATTATTTTTTTTTTTTGTTGAAAAACAGCAGATGAAAATAAAAAATGTTTGAATTGAATTTCATCATTCTTAAATCCTGGCCCTCACAAAAAGCAATGTGTATGACCCCAAAAACTATTGACCCGTCCGTATCTTTGGTTCCTCTAATTGGTAAACTATTTACGTCTTTATTAAATAAAAGATTAGAAGATTGGATTATTAAATATGATATTTTGTGTCAGGAGCAAGTAGGTTTTTGACTTGGCTGATCATGTCAGGATCAAATGTTTGTATTAAATGCATTCGTACATTTAAAATTGCAGAAAAAGAGAGGAAAACTTTATGCTGTTTTTGTAGACTTTAGATCTGCTTTTGATACCATTAATCATAAAATTTTATGGGCCCTACTAGAAAGATGAGTTTAAATAAACAGTTTCTTGGTCTTGTGATTGATATATATTCTATATACTGCAACTGCAAAAGTGAAAATATTATCTGAAACAACTGATTCATTTGGTGTCGACATAAGAATTTTGCAGGGTGAGATTTTGAGCCTACTGCTTTTTAATTTGTATGTCAATGGTCTGATAGTTCAACTTATTAAATCTGGTTTACCTGGGATTTCTCTCTCTGATCAAGTTGAGTTACATGTATGAATGTATGCTGACGACTCTGTAATTTTTACTGATACCCCACAAATGTTACAAAGTACAATTGAAATTCTGGAGAAATTTTGCTATGACTATGGATTAACTATAAATTTTTCTAAAAATAAAGTAATGGTATTCAAGAAGGGTGGTAGATGATCACCCAGAAAGAGATGATTTTTTAATAATAAGCATTTACAAGTCGTTTCGTATTGCATATACTTGGGAGTATTATTTTTGTCTTCTGGACAATTTTTACAGGCAAAAAATATAGTATACATAAGGCTAAAATGGCAATGGGTTCAATATGGCCTATTCTTTCAAGAGCTAAAATTAATTCTGCTCATATTTATATAAATTTATTTCACTCAGTGATTTCATCTGTACTACTTTATGCTCTGCTGTATTGGCAATTAGTTACAATAAAATTGCCTTTGCTTTATATGTTAGAAAAATTTTTGTGTTATATACAGTGATACCCCGAACTTACGCGATAGGTGGGACTGAGCGGTAATCGCGTAAGTCGGGGTATAATTTCGCATATAAATACATACAAATAATTTTTAATTGGGGCCAGAGACTAAAGAAAACAATAATTTAGAAAAAAATGTTTAATAAAATCTTAGATAATACATATGTATAACAAATTAGGCCTATATTATTTTACAATTTTTCACATTTGATTATTACGCCATAATTTTAATATTGTTTCCATCTCAGCGATAATACCATGACGTTTACGAATGATGCTTGAATTTAAAGATTGAGCATTTTTCACAGCTTCGAGAATTTTTTCTTTGCCTTTTATAATTGTTCTGACCGACAATTCCGGTAGATCAAACTTCTTTGCCAATTGACAAATTTTCATTTTTGTATCGAAGTCTTTAATAATGGATACATTCGTAAAGTCAAACGAGTTAAACGCGTTAGTAACGAATCGTTCGAAAAGTCTAACGAAATAGGAATAACGATGACGTCATTCTCGTTTAACTCGTTCAACTTTACGAACATACCCAATGTTAACTTTACATTCCAAAGATAAAGATTTTGTTTTCTTGTTTGATGCAGAAGAATTAGTTCTACTTCGTTTGGATGACATAGTACAGTCTCTCGAGTCTCCGTAGATATAACAAACACAGAAATAAATAACACAAAATAAATTGTAGCTATGTATCGATTCCGCGCGACACATCTGAACATATAAGCTGAACAATAGTGTGGGGGGAGTGAGTAATCAAGAGTTTCGTGGCGCTCAAACAAAAGACGAATTGACGAGATTTGAAAATCGCGTAACTCCGGGTTCGCGTAAGTCGGGGTATTACTGTAATAAAATTTCAGCTTACATGTTGCGTTTGGAACTTGGTGTTTCTAGAATATCATTAATAATAATAAAATCAATAGTTTCATTTTGGATTAGACATTTGAAATTAGATGATAAAAGTTATGTTCAAGTTGCTTATAACAAACTGTATAAATTGTGTTTGACGATGGGTAATTATACATATAATTGGTTGTTGGTGTTGAAAAATTTGTTAGATTGACATGATTTCTCTGTTCTATGATTGTTTCAAGATCCTCATTTGATCGAAAGTTATCAAACATTAATTATAAGAGTGTGTTGTGAACAAACCATACAAGATGATTGGTTTTTGTTGGAAAAAAAAACAAACATTTTCAATCAGACCCATCTTTAGGTGTGGACCTACTGGGCCTGGCCCCAGGGACCTCCAGATATTGGGTGACTCCTAACATTCAAGACCTCAAAAATATGCAAAATTGAATAGAGCAACAAGTAATAAAAATTATTATAAACAGTAAACAATCAAAAGATATGTTTGATAAATTTTATTAAACATAAATATAACAATATGTTTAGCAGAGAAAGCTAATTGAAAAAATTTACAAACATTAATCTATTACATTAATTTGTTCTGTTCTAACTCCAGCTTATGTAATACTTTAACCCCCTTTTAACAAACTAAGGTTCAGACAAAAAAGAATTGAATTGAATTTGAATAAATTGAGTTTTGGAGTTTAAATATATCACAAGTATAATTTTATATTATTAAAAAATATATAGAAATTAATAACTTATTAATCTAATAATTTGTATCTATTTTATTGTTGTAGGATTTAATAGAAGCACAAGAAAAATTAAAATTACAGAATAAAGAAATTAAGGATGCTTTAGCACAAAGGAAACTTGCAATGACTGAATATACTGAGATTAGTGATAAGTAAGAAACATTAAAAATTTTCATAATTATATTATAGTCTGTAATTTTTAAATTTAAAAGTTTCAAAATATTTGTATATAGTTACTTTTTAGTATTTAACAATGTATACTGCCAAATCTATTATTTTTATATTAAAGTAATTGAACATAATGATTTTATATGGTTGTAGTTTATTTTTAAACTACTTAATTTGAATTAGCAGTTCTTAAAGTTTATGCACACATGGTCTTCACAATTAGAAATATCTTGTATTAAATAAAATATTATTCAACACATATAGTATTTTTAATTTTTATGTACATATCTTTTTGTGAATTTTTTAATGATGTTGAAAAAGTCTTTGAAAATATACTTGCAAATCCTTGGGTGTCTGCAGAGCACAGTTTAAGAACTGCTGAGGCCATATTCTGGTCACGTATCTCTCATCTTTTCTTTCAATGACGAATGACGTCAAAACTAGAGACGAAATTCGTCTCTTAGAGACAGTGGCAATTCTGGTCACTTTTAATGATCATCTTCGTTGATGACGTCACAATTCTACTAGGTTGATTATATATGTTTGGGTTATCTGCGCATGCAACATGGTATAGAATTTTAATCAATGAAATTGTAATATTTTTGAAAATGAAGAGTACATATATATCACATGGCAAGGAAAGCACACATTCAAATAAAGCACATACTTTTGACAAAGTTATGTTTTTTGTTTTATAATGGTCTTACAGATTGTAATGTCAATTTGTCTCTTAACAAATAAAAATGTTAAAAACCTAAGTTAGAAAAGCATGTGTACTTAGATATTTTTCGAAATATTACCATCTAGAGCTGACAAAAAAGGTACTCGACCAGGGTTATAACCCGCTATGGTCCCAAGCAATTATGCTCAGGAGCTGTAAAGATTTAAAAATTGTTTTTATATGGGAATCTCTCTTAACTACCACCTAGGATGCATGCAACACTCCTACTCTCGATCTGCCCACTGTATGGGTCACACTGTATAAGCAATTAAGCAACTATTAGCATTCTCCAGTATACGCATAGCATAAGTCTGGATCCACACATGCACTGCTGAAAAACATCACAAAGCTTACTGCTCGTTCAGTTTTTGAATATATTTGAATATTTGCTTCGTGTTCTTAACGGCTTTCACATAAGCTTCAACTTAAATTTTAAGCATTCTATTCTATATTTGGATTATTTCCGTTTAACTTCTCGGTAAATTTCCAATTTTCGCCTGATGATGACGACTATAGGTTCATCGAAAGTGCTTGCAATAAAAAACGTACATGTAACATCGTCCTCAGTGTCTTCTCCATTTAGTATACAATATTTGGCATGAAAATTGTCATATTGATCATTAAGAGTTGGAAACTGCAAAAAACCTCTTCTACACGTTGCTGAAGCTAAAGAAATAGTGGCACAAACTACTTGCCCAACTTCACTTTCTGTTAAGCTGCAGAATGCAAAAGATTGTACCTAAATCTATTTCTCATAAGTACAAGGCATTTCCACCATGTCTACGACAGTTTCTTCCATATGTGGAAAAGTCTCTCCTCACAAAGCTGATTAGGAACAAATGAAAGTACCTCACAGAGGCGGAGCTCAATCTCTATACAACACACCTTCAGTTCACCAAAGCGTGTGATCCATCATTATCATCTAATTTCTCCTTAACTATCTAAGATTAACATCATATTCAATAGTTCAGTAATTGATGTAAAATAATTAAAAAAAAAATGGAATTTTTGGCATTTCCAAGTAGGCACTGAAAAAATATCAGCATATTTTCTCTCAAAATATTTTTTCCTGAAGTAGAGAACGTTCTCTAATACAATTGTGCAGCACAAGCAGCATCCAGTCGTCCATATTGGATGTAATGAAATTGAGACAAAAGACAACTATCTGCTCGTCTCTGAGTAACAAGAGAATCTTCGAGAGAAAAAGTTTTCCAGAATTGCATTTGGAGAGACGTGATGATTTCTCGAGACGTAAACAAATGATTTTCCAATCAGCGACTAGCTTGTGAGAGACAAGAGACAGTGACCAGAATACAGCCCCTGGTCTGAAAGATGGAAAAATCAGACAAAAATTTTGATAAATTGCAATTTGAACTCTTGAATTTAGGGTAAACTTAATATGTATTTTTAATAGATTATTAGTAAATGAAAGACTAAATTACATAATAATTAATAGAATAATCTGATATATATGCCATAATTTTAAAACATATGAATAGTTTATCTAACATTGAAAAATAAGAAACATTACATGCAGAATGAAATATTGAATTAAAGCATACTCATACTATTTAGCAGCATAAATTAAACTAGTAACAATTAAAGTTGTTAATAATAGTTTTAAAAATAATCTTAATATTCTGTAATGAATTATATTCACAAAATTAAAAACAATATTTAAAAAATGTGTTTATTTGACATTCATATGACAGGTTATGCAAAATAATTTTGCGTCATCTGCATTCCTTTTGTATTTACATTGATATAATAATTATATCAAAGTTTATACAAAAGGAATGTTTTTGTCAACTATTATTAAAATTATCAAATATTTTTTTAAATAATTAAAATAGCAGTAAAGAAATTGGTAGTTTAAATGATTTTATCAAAGTTTTTAAGACAAAATTGATATTTATTTATTTTCTTCTGAAAAAATTATAATTAATTGCATGTGAAATAAGGTAAAATAGCCAAAAGACAATTAGTTGATTTGATAGATGAGAAAAGCATTTTAGTACATTTATATAAAAAATATAAGTTAGAACTTTTTCAGTATTTACATAAGAGCACAATGTAATTAATAGTTTGTGCATTTTAACAAATTTAATACTTTTTATTCCATATTTCAATGTATTCAGTAGTAATGACAATCCCATTAAAAAAGTAATCTTAACCAATTAACTGGATAAATATTTTTCATTTCTTTTTAAATGTATGTAAATTTATATTGCATAAGTTATCTTCTGTTTTAAAAAATTACATGTATATTATATAATCTAGTAGCTTGTTAAAAGTAATAATATTTTTTAAAGCGATTATATCTTACCAGAGAATGTTTTGAAACTTTTAAGTTTTTTAATATATTAAGACTTAATTATGTCTGAATTTAGCATTATTAAATTATAAAGTTTTGATGATTTTCTGGAACTGATTTTGATTCAATATTTCTGACATTCATTCATGTTTTGATTTTTGTATTCATATCAAAATCATTAGGCCTAAACAATTGCCCTTGATCTTCATGTGGAAAATTGTACTATTATTATTATTATGTTGGGTTTAGTGGGTTATACTTGGTTCACACCAGTGGCTGTGTACTATGCCAGACCAGAGTCAAGGCATAGCAACCAAAAACTAAAATGAAATACGTGTGTCAGTGTCTATGTCTGTATTCAGAAATTTCCTAACAATATGGCACGTATTCAATATAGTGGCCTTCTGTAGTGTGATGTATGTATTCTATTCAATTGTAATGTTCCCAGGCTTTTGTGTAGTGTGTGTGGTATCACATCTGTACAGGAGAGAATGACAGGTACAATAATTACCCTTTCCATCCTCCACAGATGCCTAATAATAGATTAAATTTAAATAGATTAAATTTTTATATTTATTAAAACTATATTTTTATATTACCCAATTTAATTCCTATCTGTCTGTTACAGAAAATTATATGGCACTGCACAATTTTGATTTTACATTTGGTAAATATAATATCAATTTCAAAAAGTTTTTTCAAGTTTTTTAGAGATTGATCTTTTTCAGGTGGTTTATAAATAGTCTTTCACCTTATAAAGTATACGTTTATAGGATTTTTGTTGAAAAAATTAAAAGAAAATTAAAACAAACAATAGGATGAAAAAATTAGTTAAATTCTTAAATCTAATCAATAATTTCTATAAACTTTATTTTAGCATTTCCCATTTTTTAATTGTGTAATATTCTAATGTATTAAAGTTTGATATTCAATTGAATGAATAGATTTTTTAAGTTAATTGCATTGTCAAAATCTTTTCTAACAATATATTGTAATCATTGTTAGTGTTTAGAATGGACAACATGGACATCAGATCAAGGACATCAAATCACAGAGAATACTTTTTCCTCTCTATTTGAATAAGACAATGAATTATCCCCAGGATTGTAGTTTTAGTTCAGTATTAATATAGTTCCATTTATAACATCAATACAGGTTA